TATAATAAAGTCACAGTTACATAATTAATGGTCACAGAGTCACAATTATGGGTTACGAATTTATTTACTGATCACATATCATCAAATTAATTGGTCACGAATTTTTTTGAGGTCACAAATTAAAATTATTGCAGATTACAGATTATTTTGACGTCACAAATCAAAATGTTTATGGGTCACAAATTATTTTTTGGCCACAAATTATCAAATTTTAAAGTCGGAACAAATCGTTGAAATCAGGATTATTTTTTGGTCACAGATTATCAATTTTAGATTCACAGACCAAATTTTAAGGTCACGGAACACCGCAAACAAAAAAACACTGGTAGTCACCCTAACAACCAACTTGCACCCCCACAGCACCACCTCTATGGGTCCGCCGCACATTACACTACATCCACAGCACACCACCACTGCTAGCAAACACCAACAACCGCAATAACACTGCCACCCTCATTACACCACTAATTTTTGGTTACAGACGCCTAAATCATTTGTCATATATGCCTGCATAGTTGGTCACAGACACCTAATCATTTGTCACAGATGCTTAAATAGTTGGTTGCAAACACCTAATTGTTGGTCACAAACACCTACACATCACTATCACCACCACCACCAAACACACCAACAACACAACCACCGCCACCCTCACTACCTCACAACAACTGCTTCACTCACTGATTCATTCCCAAAATACAAGTAGAACTATTCACAAACCCGTCCATTATGGAGGCACTACTTCGAAAACACCCAAGGGATCATATTTGTGGCTGATNGCTGTCGTTCTCATACACCTGACTGGAGTCAATCTCGCCACAGCATCGACTCTACGACATCGTGACGCTGTCATTGCGCAGACGCATAAATGCACTACCACCGATCATTCTCACCACACCACACCAGATTTACCAGTTACCACAACATCAACTCCACAGCGTCGATTGGGCAAATTTGTAGTTATGTCTAGGTTTAGAGAGAGAGAGAGAGAGAGAGAGATTTAGGTTTGAAAATGGAATTGGAGATTGGTTGAGGTTGATTAAGGATAATATAGCAGATATATGATTAATTAAAGTTTGTACTTGAATTTTGAAAAGTAATCTTTAAATGCCGGCTATTGTGCAATTTCCTCTACTTTTTTCCAAACGACAAAGAACTCCAAAAAACATTTGGCATCTCACAACATTAAGTTGAAATCCAAGATCTCACTTAATTGCAAATTAATTGCCAACGCAAGAACACTCAGAGATACACGGAATTGATACAAAACAGAAAGAAGCAAGAACATTAATTTCAAATTAATAAAGTTATGAATGAGATACAAACTGAAAGTTCCTAAACATTAAAAAAGAAGAAGAAGAGAAGCCCACTATCAAAAGCAATTTTCATTGCGCAATCCAATATTCTATAACTCAAATATTATGCAATACATTTGTATATGTTTTACCAAACACGTACACAAACTCAGAGTATAAAATAAAACCTTAGTTTTCTGCAATGGCAATATTGAGGCTTGAAGATTTGTAAAAGGGATGTACAAAATTTAAATATAGATCGATGAATTTGGACAATTTTGAGAATTGAACAAGATATTGAAATGAGTTATTTGCCTAGGAGGCTAGGTCACTTAAATCTAAAATTGAAATGAGTTTAACTCTTCAAATTTGAAGAGTTAAAATTACTAAAACAGAGTCATTGAAAGCATCGTTTTTAAGTATTGACCCTCTAGAGTAGAAAGTATCTTGTACTTAGAGAGTTTTGTCAATGCTCTAATATTTAGTCTACTCTTCTTAATAGTGTCAATATTTTAAGATGAAATATCAAATCTTAATATTATATCGATCTATTAGAGTCTAAAAAGCTCCAATTAGCAATTCATTTTTGTCTAAAGCTCAAACTAGGAATTGGACTCCAAGATTGTTTTTTCAAATGAGTCGCCATCTTATGAGACATGTTAAGCACCCGTTTGATGGTGATTAAAATTATATTTTTAAAAGATCTCAATAAAAGCTGATGAACATGTGTTTGAAAGTTGAGGGTTCAATGAAATATGTAATTAAAATTAATTGTGGACGTCAACTTATATATATAGACTTGAATAACTTTTCTTAATAAGATTCATCTTTTAAGATGAAATTTCAAGTTCCAACATACTGGCTATTGGGAATTTACTTAATCACGCACAGTTACAAAATAAAATAATTTTCAATTCTCATCACAAATCTGCTTTGTATTTAGATAGAAATTGTAATAGAAGGTTATATTTTTGATAAATTCTGCAAACTCCTTTGCTTATCTTGAACCCGAATAATCATGATCTACGATCTATAGTTGTTCTATTGTTCAACCTCTAATGAAAATTTACATAGAAAACAAGATTGAAAGAACTAGAGTTTACTTTTCTTATACCAGCAAGAATAAGAATTGTATTTTCTACATATTTTTCAAACTCTAGTAACCTATTAATATAAAGTCCAAATGGACTTGACCCGTCTGTTAGATTTAACTCGATCTAATATTTAATTAATTCATTTAATTAATTTTGGTCCATGAATTATTTGATCCGATTACTTAATTCGGGTCTATTAGGAAGCAACCCAACTAATTAATTTTCCAACACCTGTAATTAATTAATTGGTAAATCTCATTCTTTTTGTTGTTCTTTTGTGTATGACCCATTATGTTGCCTATTACGATTCCTAATGACGTAAATTATTATTTTGATATAATAAAAATTGATAAATTACAATATACATTTTTAATGTATCACCAATCCATATTCATCGTCCCATATTGACATCTAGCAATGTCTAGGCAGTACGTGTGATGGTAAACATCACGTGGTATGACAAAATCAGACTTATTCGTTTATCATGAAACTATAATCTTTTCGTCAATATGATCCGATCAATTACGAGATATTGATATGTATCAATCTCAGTTATCGATTGTATTTTTCATTCCACTATTAAGTCAATATAAGTCGGAAATTTCTTTTCGATTTATGAGAATACATTGACTAAGGATTTCATTATCAACTTAATTGAATGAAATGTAAATCATAATATCTTACTATCTAAGAGTGACGAATCGTCTATTGATCGTTGACATACTCAAACGATGTCGTATTAGCGACCCTTGACAGAGCAACATCCAACATTATCAAAATATGATTGTCTTCTTATGAGGCACCACGATGATCTCAAGTTGAATGACTAATTTCACTATTGATCATTAGAGATTAACCACTGAAACTCATATAGTTATCCATATGGAATCTCCCCAACGGGTCTACAATGTTTTGTTCGATAACAAAATATCCACGTGTTTATTTAAATGTCATAACACTTTAGTTTGTGAGATCAGCTATTTATTTCATAAGTAAAAAATGCAACACATGATGGCCTATCTATAATAATGATATCCGTATCTCATTATTACATACGACCACAGATGATTTAAGATTCAGTCATACGTAATTTGTAATTTACAATTACAACTCCTTGTGATTAACAAATTATTGAGATTTGAATATACAGACTTTATTTTTTAATTTAATTGAATCTCAATTAAATAATTGATCTGATGTAAAATTACATCAATTATATATTAAAAGTGTCTATGTCCAAAATCGATTGGACTAGAGCATAACACTTGCCACATGTATAGATAGATTTTGACCTAGTATCTCAATTATATTAGGGAGAAACGATTTTAAATTACTTTGGTCCGTGAAACCCAGAAGATAGGGAAGTCACTATATCCACACATTCCTTTCAAAATGACAAATAAAATTGCAAGACTCATTTGGTTGTCAAATGTCTTCTTATGCACCAATAATATCTTTAATTCTTTCTTTCTCCAAGTGGTCTTGGACCACATAGGCCACATGCTGCGATATTTCTGAAAAAAATGTACACCAATCCTTATCATATTTCAAATTTCCATGAACTTTTCTAATTTCTTGTGCAAACTGCAATTCATGAGTCGTGATAAAGATAAGATGAAAAAAAGGTGCTCATAACTTTTTTTCTTTTTGATATAGAGAAAATTATGTCTCGTTCACTCGGAGAAAACTGCCCGGTTGCATAAATAGTTTGATTGTGGAAGAAATATTAGTCCCTATTTGGCCCCTATTTCTCTAAAAACTCATTTTTTAAACTCGTTTTCAACCACATATTTCATATAAGACTTACAATTTTTATCAGCTCTTTAATTATACATTTCATCATCTTTTATTAAAATATACTAAAAATCTAATTGACTAAATTGGATAGTTAATAGTATTTTTATCTCATTTTAAGGTAAGTCTTCTCATAACTCTTTGTTATATAGCGTCCAAGTTAAGTTCATGTTTGGTTCAACACTTCAAACAAAAAAGTTAGATTAGAAATTTAAGTGAAAATCAAGAATTAATTTTAGCTACACATTCTATTGAATCCATAACTTTTCAACTACAAATTCCTTCTATGCATGACTGGCCTAATGAACATAGAAGGATACATTAATGAATATTGCAAAATGATACATTAGTAACCAACGACAACATATGTTTACCGACTATTGCGATAAACCCTTTTCAGCAATGCGCAATTAATGAATATTATTGTTTGCATGTTTCAAAAAGCTATTTTTCTTGTAGATATCGAATTTCTTATTTTAAGTTGGAGCAATGATATAATCTCATATTAAAGCCAGCATTTTCCATTTCTTTCGTAACTGGAATTCTATTTCATTCGAAGAATATGCTTCTTAATTCATTTTTCCAAAGCAAAAGAGAATTCTTGTATTTTTCTAAGAAAAGATCATAAATCATGTGCCATACAGCCTAGAATCTGTCGTTTCTCCCTCAGCATGCATGGCATGGAAAGGGCAGTACCAAATCACTAAACAATTATCAAAAAATATCTTTGCTATAGTAGTCTATGTATGACTTTCCAATAAATTTGAAGTAGACTAGGTGAATATTTTTTTTCCACGGTTAAATTCACTTCTGGCTAGAACAGTCTATATAAATGGATAGAACCATATCAAGATTCAAAACTATACACGTCGGCAAATACTTTCCACTCTTTACGTTTCATATCAAAATGTTTATCCATTCCCTATTAATCTTCACACTTCTCTTTGCCTCTTCTCAGGCTTCAGTGGTCGATTTCTGCGTTGCAGACCTATCATTGCCCAATGGACCTGCAGGCTATTCTTGCAAGAAACCTTCCACTGTCACAGAGAACGATTTCGCATACTCAGGCCTGGTTCCCGGAAACACATCCAATATCATCAAAGCTGCTGTGACCCCGGCCTTTGATGCCCAATTTCCCGGTGTCAATGGCCTTGGCATTTCCATTGCGCGGCTGGATTTGGCCGTAGATGGTGTAGTACCGATGCACACTCACCCCGGTGCATCAGAAATCCTCGTAGTCATCGAGGGGACAATCTGTGCCGGCTTTATTTCGTCTTTTGACAACGTTATCTACCTCAAAACCCTGAACAAGGGAGATGTTATGGTATTCCCACAAGGATTATTGCACTTCCAAATCAATTCTGGCACCACCATTGCTCTAGCATATGCTAGCTTTGGCAGTGCTAACCCAGGTCTTCAAATCACAGACTTTGCTTTCTTTAAGAATAATTTGCCAACTGAATTGTTAGCCAAGACGAGTTTCCTTGATATTGCTCAAATCAAGAAACTTAAGGCTGTTCTTGGTGGCACTAACTGATAATCATCTGTCATTTGTTGGGACAAAATTGTTTTCATTTTCAGTCTTGTGTCATTCTGATTATTGTATTGTAATTTCAGTGTCATATTGTGTTGGGTTTTTCTAGTCTGTCAAAGTTTCAGCTTTGTAATTTGATTGTAGCACCAAATGTACCATCGTTGAGAATTATATGGAATAATATTACCTAGCATAAGTGGTACTAGAGAATCAATCTAGGTGTACATTTTATAGATTTAATTAAATGAGCACTTTGCCCTTAAATGAATCTATTATTTAATATTACGTAATTGTTACCTAGATTAGTGCTTAACATCAGTAACATGAATAACATTACTCAATTATATACTTGAATTTGGTTCAATTGGAATTCGAATCGACTAACTTGTTGAATATTGCATAATAAGTGATAACATCATCTTCAATATTCAAAAATTACAGGATAAATATCTATAGAAAAACCACACAATCTTTCATAAAATAATATTACATGTAAATCGAAAACTTTTTCTTTTTTTTCAAACACTCATTTTTCAAAAAAATACTATTTCGCCAATTTTCATTTTCACAAAAATGGGGGCTAAGAGATCTAATGAAATTAATTGTACATTCAAACTAGTTAAATTAAAACTTTAGATACTAGAGTAAAGGACCTACAATAATGGAGAATTTCGAGGGAACAATAGTACATTGTAATATATTCTCCGGTGGCCTAAGCTCGACCGTAATAAACTCTTTTGAAAATTTTTTTAGTCAAATCACTAAAGATTCAATATTGCACTATACAGTTTAAAGTTTAACTAAAGACTTTTAAGAACTAGATAAGAAGATCGAGAAGCTCAACAATCTATTTCTATTTAAATATCTATAGTAATTAGACATAAAACAACTTTTCACGACTCTATCTATGGGTTCGTTTAGTACACATTAATGTAAAAATAAGAATGAAAAATATAACCGTTATGAACCCCGCACAAGAGATAGAAAGTCAAATATGGTGACTTGATGTGATGGATAACGGTCATATTTTTTATTTTAATGGGCAAATAATGGGAACCAAACGGGGGCTATATCTTCATTCTTACGTCATATTTTTCTCAAGTGAAATAATTAATTAGTGATCCAATCATAAAAATATTAACTAATTAATAAACTATTTACTAAATTACAAAACATTATATCTGTAAAATTGTTGAGCTCGCAGGAAGATGGTTTTTTTTTTTTTTTTTTTTTTTTAATCAAGGAAGCTGGAATCCGTTTTAATCTTTTCCAATAAGGATAAGGGGATAATTTATCTCCCTGCAATTTGTAAAATATTTAAAAAAATGCCATCTTTCTCTAAAAATGCCTTATTTTCATCGTTTACACTTTACCCCCTTTTATATATATATTTTTAATAAAATTCCTTCTTTTCTTTTAAAAATTAAATTTTTCTATCTTTTTCATCTTCATTTAACACTTCAATATTTTTAGTTTCAAAACAACATTTTAATCTGGGGTAACATATTGTGTTATAATATGTTAATTTTTGTTAAAACACTATTTTTCACAAGTAACAAGTTCTGTTACCATATTTTTTAAAAAATGGGTAACATGCTGAGTTATTATATATTACTTTTTATTAAAAAAAATTCCACTGTATAATATTTGTGTCAAATCTAGTAAACGCAAGGAGCCTCAAGTAGCTTGCCTATTCTTCTATTCTCCGATCAATTAATAGTCTATTTGAACTCCTAATGAAAAGACTTGTTTTCGCCTTAACTCGGGTTTTACATAGGTATAATATTGTGTTACCCTTACTTTTTATCTCTAATTTTACACGAGTCATATATTGTGTTGGCTGCCATATATTATTTACGTTATTCTTATTTTTAGTTCAACCAGCATCATCTACGAAACACCACAATCATCGCCCTTGCACCACTTATCACTATCTACGAACCACCGTCTACCACTACCATCACAAAACATGGGTAACACATTAAGTTACATATGTAAAACTACTCTACCATCACCACAAAACTCGAATAACACATTTTGTTGCTCATCTAAAATCATTCCCATCACACAACCACAAAACACAAGAAATGTAACCCATTTGAAACCATCCTCACACCACAAGCAAAACTAACATGAATTACACATTATGTTATCCGCCCGAAATCATTCAATCATTCCATCATTAGCAGATTCTATTATGCAAAGTACAGAAAAAGCCAACACAAGTTGTAGTCTAAGTGCCAATTTGACATGACTTTTACATTAATGCTACTCACACAGGGCTGTTGACAGGGTTAAAAATAGGGGCTAAGGTGGATTCACCTCAGTCGTTGATTTGAACTTATGAAATTCAAATCAAGGGCTGAGGTGAATCCATTCAACCTCCTATTTTTTTACTCTGTCCACCTCCTCGTGTGTATAGCATCTCTCTGAATTTTAACATCCAAAAGTTGCTTTCGAATTCGTTTGACTAATTTCATAAATTTTTTTTTCTAATTATAAGGGTTTTTAGAGAAAACTAATTCAATGTAATTTTCTCTAAAAATATTTTTCAGAATAAAAAACTCTTTTAGAAATTAGTTTTCGAATAAATAAAAATTAAAGTAATTTTCTTCAAAAAGCTCATCTACACGAAGTAAAAACAAAAGCAAAAGTCACGACAAATGGGCTCTCACTGAGCTGGATCATACAACTAAGACGGTTATAGGCCTACTGGATTTATTACACAAACAGATACTCAAAAACCAGCCCAAGTCCATTTAAATAACAACGAAACTTTTTTACTCTTGGGGCATAGGTCAGTTGTGCAAATGACAGGAATGATGTTATCTCACGTCTTGCTAGCAGCCGTAGTGTGGGTGTTCGATTACTGAGACATGAAATTAGACTCCTTGTAAGCGCAGTGTACAAGCAGCTCTTACTCTCTAGCCTATTGGAACACATCCCGCGATTTACCTCCCCTAGAAAACTCTAGGAGCAGGACGATGTAGCCCTCAAGGTTGGGTTCAACCTCGTTTCTTTCTTTTTTTTTTTTTTTTTCCTAAATAACAACTAAACTTCTCGTCGGGTCCTTAATTAATCAGGGTTAAGGGATGGCGGTAGTTGAAATACTGGTTTAGGGTTTGAACAAAGTTCTCTTCACTTACCTCAGTTTGTCAGACGGCAACACATTTTAACCGATACCTGGAGGAAGAAAGAATTAGTTCAGCTCTTTTTCGTACATATATGCATGTATATGAATTCATATGCATTCAATTTTGAATCTTTTACTGTTTGTAATTTTAATATACATGCTTAAAATTAAGTATCTCATTGTTCATAATCTATATTAATTTGCTTGTTAATTTGCCAAATAATTTGCTTCAGACCTGCTATAGTAAGCTGGTGGAGTGTAAAAAAGACGAATGGGACTAGAATTGGCACCTGAGCAAGCATAAGTGTTACCTGATACGGAGGAGCTTAGTTTCACTGATTCAGAGTTGGAATATCATGTTAGGAATGCCCTTAAAGCTGCTTTTCAGGTTAAAATAGATTGAAGTACTTGAATTTCAGCTTTATCGAAACTGTTAATCATGCTAAGTAATCAGATTCGTTAATGGTGGAGTAATGAGAGTGGAGTTTACTGTTATAGGGTGACCATGACTTCTATAATCAGCTTGTAGCAGTGATGCACTACAAAGAACGGCTAGTCCCTGAGGAGGTGGCCCTTCTTGTGGTATGTTATAATTTGTTGATAATTTCAAGTGATACATCTCGCTTTATCTTAGCAATTTGCTTCATAATTCTTATCATTGTTATTTTGTGGCAGACATGCTTGAAAGCTCTGGATGGAGCAGTTTCTTGTATAAGCATTGTTCACCATCAGCGTCTTCTTGCTGGCGTGAGTTACTAAAATTGTATAAGATTACATGTTCGCGAGTGAGTAGAGTTTCCATTGGCAATTACTATCAATCTAAACAATTAAATTCAAATCCATAGATTGATGAGATACCAAGAACCAAGAGTTCACTGATTGCATAATTTAATTTTGTCAAATCCTTTTTTTAGGACACATGAATATAGCTGTATGTAACCTGATTCATTTTGTAATTTTCTCATGAGTGGTTTAAACTTCAGATATTTGGAATGAGCTTGTGGAATTATGGGACTGATGTGATTGATGCGTTGGTGGATTTGCTAATCTCCTTGGTATGTTAGTCATATGTCATAACTTCAATTAGTTTTGGTTACCATTTATATCGCTAGTGATTGATCATGTACCCATTGTTCTGCTCAGGCTGCATCAAGTGGTGATTATGTTGATTTATGCTTGGGTACGCTTGTAAGCAATTTCATGCCTCCATCTAGTTCCTCTTCATATTTCATTGAAATGCTAAAGCAACCACGGGGTCTTGCTAAGAAGGGCCAAGTTCTAGATCATGTGCATTCAACTTTGAAACATATTGCCAACTTAGTTCCTCTTTCCTCTTTGAGACTGGAGAAGATGGACACGGATAGAATGCCAAATATATACACGAAAGAACCTGTAAGATCAAATTTCCATATCCCTTATGTATAGTCTTGATGGTGTTAGCTGAAGTAAATTTCTAGATCTTATCGAGTTTGAACATACAATTATAAGGGAACGTGAATGAGGGTTTTGTTTTTTTCGAATCATCATTATGCTAATGATGGTAGTTGTTAGAGAACAATTTTAGCTTCTAATTTTCCCCCTACATAGGGTGGGGGAAGAATTGGATTCAATACAGGTTTCTGCATAGGGTAGATGCTTTTTTTCATTTCTTTCTGCTTGGGTTCAAGTAAGGTGCATCAATTTTATAATATGAAATGATGGTCATTATTAAGGCACACTTATGAGAGAGATGGTATTCTGTTATAGTCAATGACAAGCTTGGCTTTGGCGCATATTATTATTAATTACTACTTTTAACTGGGAGAAGTACATCATATTTCGAAGTTGCATTCGAATTGGGCATTTTAGCAATGATTGAATTTTTAATCTTTGGTTAGATACTTGTTTTGATGTTTTGCTTATTTTCTAAGGCAGTTCATTGTGATTTACGTGGAGAACATGTTAAAATTGGAGAGTGGTGCAATGCATGAACTTGTTGGGAGCACAATGCTTTTGGCAATAATGGATAGGCTAATAGATTTGGATGTAAGCTTTTAAAAATCTCACTTAAGTTAGTAATTGAATTGGAACTTTCAGTGACT